TAAAGCCTATTATGCAGAATTTGGCAAAACATCAATTTAACTTATTAGGATTACATTCAAATATAATATTGCAAAAAATTTTTCAAGACAACAGTTTGATTAGTTTACTTTTGCAGCTGGTCGAAATTGTATTTGGTCAAATCTAGCGAATATCAACGCAAGAACTATTTTAACTGACTTTTCATAAATCATAGTAAAAAATGATCCTTGAATTATCTAAAATGAATTAAGAATTACCTGCATTTTGAAGGTATTCATCTTAAAAATAGTTTGATATTTATAATTAATAAAATCATATCAAATTTATATTAATTACAAAAGGTTCTTATTTCTAAGACACAATAATCTCTTTAATAGAATTTATTAATTATTGAAAACAACATAGAGAGAAGACTATATAATTTCTTCAAAATGGTTTAGAATGCTTCTTTCTTTATTTTATCAACATTTTATCAATAAATAAATATTATATATGATAAATTTATATATATGTTGGAGACAAAAGCATCTAATTTATTTTACTTTAATTAAAATGAAAGTTCTTTGTGATTTCCAAAACCGAATATTAAAACTAACTTTATATTCAATAATACCAATATTTTCAAGCAATCTATTTTTAGTTCAATTTTTCGATTGCAGATAAAATAATAAAGTAAGACAAGACTTTTTCAATCTTTATTAAAAATTAAAGAGTATCATCAAATTTTTCAATTTGTTTTGATTATCCGTAATTGATTTATTATGCAGTATTTATATAAGAATCTTCAAAAAATGTTTGTTTTTCATTAATATAATATCAGCCTATCTCTTTGAATTCTCCATNGTTTGATATTTATAATTAATAAAATCATATCAAATTTATATTAATTTCAAAAGGTTCTTATTTCTAAGACACAATAATCTCTTTAATAGAATTTATTAATTATTGAAAACAACATAGAGAGAAGACTATATAATTTCTTCAAAATGGTTTAGAATGCTTCTTTCTTTATTTTATCAACATTTTATCAATAAATAAATATTATATATGATAAATTTATATATATGTTGGAGACAAAAGCATCTAATTTATTTTACTTTAATTAAAATGAAAGTTCTTTGTGATTTCCAAAACCGAATATTAAAACTAACTTTATATTCAATAATACCAATATTTTCAAGCAATCTATTTTTAGTTCAATTTTTCGATTGCAGATAAAATAATAAAGTAAGACAAGACTTTTTCAATCTTTATTAAAAATTAAAGAGTATCATCAAATTTTTAAATTAATCCTATCTTAAATATTTGATTAAGAAATAATAATTAATCGCATTCAAGAACTGTTAAAATTTAATGTCTTCCAATTATTATGAAGGTTCAATTGCAATAAGGAAAAAGTTCAGCTTTTGAGATATAGCATTCAAATCTTCTCAATTACACGTGTTAAATAACTTAATAAAGGTTAAAGTAGAACCAATTATCTATTTCATATAATGTAGAATCTATTATTGACTTTCTTAAATAGTTGGCTAAAAGTTTTAGCTAATCATAAATTCTTCTTAGGAGCTTTGTGTTCTCTCAATATTTTTACATATGCTTAAAGTGCAGTTGTTTAGAAGTGATGAAAAGATCACAAAGCATTCATTCTAACTTTAAAAATAGCTATTCAAAGCATATCGTAGTCATCTTAACAGTTCAAAAATATTGATCCTAACATAGACTTATGATTATTAGAAAAAATAATTTTTCAGGGCAAATTATTAAGGTATATAACATCAAAATTGAATTTATGTTCTTGTGTAATTTAATAACCATAACTGACTTTCGCAAAACCTATTATAAATCGTATTTTAATTTATATAATATCTGAAAAAACGAAGAAAGTGAGTATTTTATTTTTTATACATTAGCTAAATGAATATTTACCAAAGGTAGCAAGTAATAATATTAATTAATAAAACTAAAATAAAAATAAATGCCTCAATCATAATTATACAAAGGAGCATTCACTCTATTATTTCATTCTAATTACTACTGGTTGTAAAATCTCAAGCAAATTTATAAGGCTTCATGCTCTTTGAATTGATTTCATTAGGCTATTTAACTGTCTAGAAAAACAATTGCTCAATTGTATTTTAAAAATAGTTCTAAAGTGAAATGGTGTATATATTTTGAACTATAACTATAAAATTAACTTATCGTTCTTAATATATGGTATTTCAGGGCAAGCGCTATTCTGCTAAAGAAACATGAAACCTGGTTTGATTAAGGATATTTCTCCTTTGCATAAAGTAAAATAAGGCAAGGAACTGCAATTTAATATTCATAATGCTAGCATTATACCACTCATTTGATCTAGCCCATCTCTCCATCTATGAATCCTGACAAGTTTGAAATGGCTTTTCAACATACAATTTCTGTAGCAAAATAAAGAAGAATATTGCTATTTTATCTAATTATGTATGTGTGATTAATAATAACGTAAATATTTTGATACATATAAAAAAATTAAAAAAACTTTTTAAATAGAGCAAATTATGGTAGAAAGGACCTTTTTAAATTTCTAAATACTCAAAATATACCTGTAAAATGACACCTAAATAAACTAAAAATTTGGATTATATTTTATAATCAATTTTGAAGTTAATTTTCAATCTCAAGTTTTGCTAAATACTTGTGGTGAAGGAAAAATTTTTAATTAAAAATCCTTATTGCAAAATTAATCTGGTTAATAAAAGATTAGATAACTTTACTAAGTAACTAGGATGAGCAGATGATTTTGAAATTTCATATTCATTAAATAGGTTTAATTATTTAATAAGTAAATTAAACAAAAAACTTAATCATTGAATAAATCAAATATAGTTTAGGGAGGGTTATAAGTTGGATTCAAATTTCATTTTAAATAAGGCAATTAGAATATTTGAGTGATGAATTGAAATAAAATTAAGACAATTAATTTAAACAGTTAATGAAAAAAAATTTATGAAAAAATAATATCATTATTGTAAAATATATTGAAAAGAAAGATCTTAAGGAACTTTTTAGGAAGGCTGATCATGTAAAATGCGAATTGTAAGGAAATATCTAAAGGTTTTTCCATTATTTACCATTTAGTTTAATTTGTTACTCTTCTTATCATATATCTTATTTCGAATAAAAGTTGATTGGAATTTTATCTAATTTACCTTAATGAACTTTTTACAGGAATATATTCAATTTGTATTGACATTATTTAATGGCTCTTATGGAAGTAAAAACAATAGAGACACAACAAATTTTCATTTGAAATATTTAAAATGTAGGTCATTCAGAAATAGCAATGGAAACTATATATGAGAATTTATTTTAGATCTTAAAAGATTGTTGTAACCATAACAACGAGATCTTTAAAAATATATAAAGTGGCATAACTCACTCTTGAAAAATTACCCTTTAGTTAAAGAAGAGCAAGTCACTTTTTTTAAGCATCTATAGAGAGATTTAGATGTACTAATAGAAAAATATAACTATTTGTGAGCCCAATTATCACATCTTATCTTAAATTGCTTAAATAAAATATTTTGAATATAAAACTATTGATATTTTGAGTTGAGTAAATTAATCATATAACATAAATTTGCCGATTAGAAAATCATTCGTACTAAACCAAAGGATATCCTGTTATATATTTTGTGTCTAATTGGAATTATTCCTGGTTTTTTTCATTTATTTGAGGATTTCACTTCTATATAAATCAATTAAATGACCGAAGAATTCTTAATAAAATATGTAATCTACAAAAAAGGCAAAAGCATCTGCATATCCAAATAAGGTTTTAAAAATTAATCCAAATTTATGTTTACTAATATATTTCGCCTTCTTGTTAAATTGATTTCTATAAATGATTCTTTCACAAATGGAGATCAAAAATTTATTTTTCATCTCTAAAAATTCTCATTTCTTTTAGTTTTCGATACAATTTATATCTATTTACTCTATTATATTCATTAGTAAAATCAACGAATATGATTAATTATTTCACCATATCAATAAGTATTAGTATGTAAATTAAAATTCTGTATCAACCCTCTTCTTTTAGAATACCATTTTAGACCTAATTTGTCAAAGAATCATAAAATCATTTCATAAATGAAAAAAGGGAGCCTAATATTGCAAGAAGTCTAAGGTATCTTTCGTTTGAATCACATAGTATACTTTATTAAAGGGAATTAACCTTGGCCATAAAATTTTCTTATTTATCGAAAAGCCTATTCATTCCATAATAATCTATTATTTTCAAATTAAGTATTTAATAGTTTGGTATATAATACAATCAGAAGATATTGTTTTATCAAAATAGATCATTACTAAAGTTTCTCAATCGTTTACCTGCACACTGAATGTAATCTTTGTAAAGAAAAGGGCAACTAATCAGTTTAATCAGATAATTAGTAGGGAACAATTCATATCTACATTCTATCCAACCCATATAGTTTTTTCTCATAAAAATAACATGTATAGATACCTCCTCCTCCTTTATTCTTATGTAATTTAATGGGATTGTAATTATTTTAAGAATGTCTCTTATCTTTTTATGAGAGTTAGTTTACATTATCTGATAGTTTTTAATTAAATATTTTTGAATGCGATCTTCTCATGTTATTCTCTTGTGAATAATGTCAATTTCTTGTCATTAGACTTTGGAAAGCTTTTTAAAGTAACTTTCGACATCTTCAAATCATAAAATTGGATATTTTAAGATAATGCTATCACTTTCTATATTCTTAAGTGGTAACTATACTTTCATTGTTGAACTGTTTAAGATAAAACCAGTTTACCAAGGATTGTCCTTCTAAATGTCCTTTGATCTTTATAAGATCCTAAAGCATAGCCCATTACTTTTAGAAAGTGTTAATTAAATTGATTTTTATACTTTTTGATTAGAATGATTATTAGTAGTATATTCTTAAAAGATTCAAGTTAATGCAAAGTAGTTTAATTTCAATATTTTTTATTTATTTGTATCAAAGCATTCTTGATGTTGAAAATCCAAACATTCCATTTTAAATTTAAATATCAAACTTTAAAATCAAAATGTTTTTAAAAATAATAATCCATCATATACTAATAACAGGGTCAAGTCAGAATTAATCAGAAACATATTAATATAGACTGTAAAATTTACTTATAAAAATTCGATAAAATAGGAGAAGAACAAATTCAAGAATTTCAAAAGAGTTTGTAGGTTGATTTTTATACATGGACATGGTGTTTTTCCTGGTTAAACTCTGGTACTATCTACTCCTCATTAATTCTGAATTAATAGAATTAATATTTTCTAATTGGAATGGCAATCCAATACTGGTAAATATATAGAATAAATTTAGTGATCAATCAAAATGCCAATAAGATAGAACTAGTGAACTCGATAGTTTGGAGGGTCAGATTAACCAAAATTTATGGAGAAGGTATGGAGCAAAGGGCTGATAAGAAAGATACGTTTGAGGATATGCTTCCAATTCAAACTGGTCCGACCCTTTCTTCAAGGCAAACAAATAAGGAAGGAACTCAAATATAAGTTCATCTTTAGAGAGACCGAAATGTTTTCTTCCTTAAAAGAAACGATGCAATATGGGTAAGGTATAGCTGATTTAGGGGTCATGAGAAATGAGGATAAAAATCTAATAGGCTCTAAGCCAAGTTAAGTCAATGCAAAAGGTAATTACCAAGGATTTTTTAATGGAATAAAGATTAGGTGGGCCTATTTGAATATTGAATAAGGAGATGTATTAGATGACTAAGTTAGAGGGAGTTAGCGACTTTTTATTCTTCACTTAACCACCAACATGAGAGCCATCAATTAAGGCTCATTTGTCTAATGTAATACCTCATTCCTGTGAGAGATGATTATTTTATTTCTTCCCTTTTTATAATAAGATACATTCATTAAAATATAATTAGAATACAATTTAAATTATTCTTAAAATATTTAATTGTTTTTGAAAATTGAATTGACAAATTTTTAATGGCTACAGCTTGACCCAATAAATAAGAATTAACAATTAATTTGTACATTTTCTTTATTTTTTTACTTCTTACTCAAAAATAAAGCACTTTCTTTCCCAATCCTTTCCAATAAATAATTCTCCGAACTGAGCTTGTATTTAATTAAATATACAATTAAATTAGATTAAATTTTAATCTTCTCTAACGATAGTGTTCTTTGTTCAAAGAAATTTATTGTATTCTGCCTAGAGAAGCTAAACTACAGGTGCGTTTAAACTACTCTTTCTAATTTTTTCCTATAATAATACAGATATTTAATTGATACCAGTATAGAAAATAAACTAAGGAAATAGTAAATTGTATCCAAAATTATAACAAATTTCGTTTAAGTCAAAAGCTAGAGAGAAATTATGTATCTCCCCAAAAAAGCAGAAAACGCTCTACATTGATCCAATTCTAAATTTTAATTCAAGTTGAATTATTATTTTAAAACAAAAAAGAATAATCTTAAGCAGTTAAAGTAATTTTTTAGAAAAAAATCTATGTTGCGTATTATCACTTTAATTCTGTTCTAATATTTTCAAATAGGCGAAGGATAAAAATGAAAAAAACTAATCATATAAACTTTTAAATAAATTTTTTTTGAGAGATAATTAAATATTTAAGTATATAAATTCAAATTCTGCAAATTTAATTCTTATTAATTATGATAGGTAATAAATTTAGATAACAGTTTTATAAATGAATCAAAAATATCATAATTGATAAAATTATATTTAAATGCCTGCCAGTTTTATTTGCTTTATTAGTTCTCTATATTCGTCTTCATTCGATTTGCACTACTTAATTAGTAGATCATACTTAATCAAATTATGAATTAGCTGAAGATTGCCACTTCAAATGATATCTATCTATTAATTTTATTTCATATTATGATAAAACATAACATATTTTTGAAATAAAGGAATGCTCTTCTTTCAAACTTAAAATGCTTTTTTATATTATTTATTTGAAATTACTTAATGTTTAACCTAAATAAAATATTGATTCATTTACTTTTTCAATTAGCATCAATCATTTTACTGGTATTACTTAGCTCTAAATCTGAATAATGTAATTGATCTTCATACAAGTTCTATTCATTTTTTTGGCCTATTCTCTAATTATAATTTCATTCCTATTTACTTCATTATGAATGTAACAAAAAGTCAATCGTCAAATAATAAAGAATGGCTTTAATTGTATAAAAATTCCAAGCAACTTAAAAGAAATTTCAAAAGTAATTATTTATTCTAATATTTAATATCGTAAATCAGAAGTTCATTAACAAAATTGTTTATCTTCTAATTTAATTTGACTATTTTAAATCTACATTTATTTTAATTATAATTCTAATTACTTTAATTGCCTAATTATATACTTTATAGTATTATTATTTGTTATCTCCATTCTAAGTTACAATAACCTTTGATCTAAATTTTCAATATCTAATTTCAGGTGAGAACTAATCAGAATAGTTCATCCAAGAAAATGCTCTTTAAAATATAAAAAAAAATTTGATTATCAGAACTAAATGACAAATCTAACCCAACTAATATATTTTTAGTCGATAAATGTAAAGATGATGAGTGTATTTGTTAACTAGCATTATTTGAACGTTTATGAATATTTTAAGTTCAAAAGTAGGAATGATATGAAC